GCAAGGTCCCACCTTCGGACCGCAGACGGTTCACGGTCAGCACCGAAAACAGTTTGCGAGGACCCACCTGCTACACCGAAATCTCTCTATTTTGGGCTACTTTTCGACCGGAAACACTTTGTTTAGGCCCATTAGGACAGAAAACTACCTCTATATATAAATGTTTAACCGTGAACTCAATTCATTTCTCATTTCCCAAACCGTAAACACACTCATTTTGCTCTCAAGTATCATCCGAGAACCTTCAAATCTTCAAGAGATTTTACCCAGAATCTTCAAATCTTCAACCGAAATCATCATCCCACCTTCAAATCTTCATAAATTCACCAAGAACACCAAGAACACCAAGAAAAATCTTCAAGCCTTCAAGCTTACACCGAAAACACCCAAGCTTACACCGAAAACGCCAAGAAACCCCCTCAATTAATTCCTACCACTTTTTGTAAGTATTTCTTACATAGTTAAGTGTTGTCTAGCAATTAATTTATTATTTAATTTATTTAAATTAATATCTTATTATTTTAAATACGATATCGTGTATAATTATTATTAGGACACGACTACGCACGTGGGTTCTAACCCGATGATCATCGCTACCACTTCGCATCCAAACACAAACTTGCATTCGAGGTGAGTTCATACCCCTACGTTTTCACTATTTTTCCATGTTTTTAGGGGGGGGGGGAATACAAGTACAACACAATTAAATTTTGAGTTAACATTCAAATGAGTTATAACGATTTCAGACGTTTCAAACTATTTCAACCTGTTTTAAGCTATTCTAAATTATTTCAACTGTTTCAACTATTGTTTTTACCGAAACGTATTTATATATATACGCCCTGTATATATATGAGTACAAACCTTTAAACCTTTGTAACATGCTGAGCAAATGAGAATATTCAGAAATATTTCCATTACAAACAGACCACACTTATAAATTATAATAGGTATAGATCATGAAACATCCTTACTATTCTACTAATTCAAGAAACGATACACGGACATACTTATAAACTATAATAGGTATAGTTTATGGAACACATATATCATTATTACTAAATACAGAGATACAATACAAACGAACATATAAACTATAATTGATATAGTTATGGAACATAAGTGCTATTTTTACTAAGTTCAGATTTTAATACAGTAACAAACATATAAACCATATTAGATATAGTTTATGGAACATATATACAGTTATTCATTGGAAAGTGAATTTTCAATTATTCTACACGTAACCGTCAGTATAGCTTTGTGAGATACACTTCAAGTACTTACCTAAGTACCAACCAAGCCCTGAAATTATAACCAAAGTCTCCTGGAGGGAGAGCGTGAATTTGTGTAGATCTATATGGGACTGACAATCACGCACCTTAACTGTTAGCTACAGTTAGGCCGACAGACCTGAGGTGACAAATGTCATAACTATTTTGATGCCTGAAGAACGTCGTTTCAGGCCATCTTAGGTAATCAAGTATGGTTATAATAACTCACAATTTGATATTGAACAATACGATTAGTGTAAGAATACATAAACAACTTCAAGTAGTTTTATTAAATAATGGAACTACAATACAGTATTTTACATTACAGTTGGTGGAATCCAAACACTTACACTTACAGAGTTTTCATACATGAACATTACAGTATACTATTTCCAGTACAGAGAAACATATATTTCAGAGAAACATTCGAATTTACTTAGTTTTATTTAAATGATAAGACTACGATATACTACTACTGAGTACAACAACTTTTACACATCTTGGTCTTATGACATTAAGACTACCATTCATTTACAACAGAAAATATAGGATTTTCTGGAAGAACATACTTACATTTTCAAAGAACCACAAACTGATTTCAAAAACATGCTTATGAACTCATCAACTTAAATGTTGATGCACTTTCAAAACCACTTGTATTCTTAGGGAACCAGTAGACAGGTACACCCACAGGTTTTGAGATGACGGAGCTTTATAGAGTCACGTCTTTTATACTTTTGCTATACACTTTTGGTGTCATACAAACAATGTTTGAACACAATGTAAATACTATTCTATCAATGTAATGGTTGTTGTTTGCTTTGATTACTATTATACAATTGTTATGATACTGCTCATGATGTCCTCCGCCCCCGAACGTTTCCGTCGTTCTGGTTTGAGGGTGTGACACCTTGTATTTTGGAAGTCTTCATTCTTCCTCTTGTTACTTTGATTGCTTACTCTTTCATTGTCCTTTTCTCCAAGTGTCTTCTCAAATTTTCTTGCCTTTCTTATTGCATTGTCCAAGGTATCTGGGGTCCTAAAATTCAATTCGAAGTTCCATGGCAACCCCGTTTATAAACTCAATCTTATTTTCATCATCATTGCATGTTGTACAACTAAACAAACAACTTTTTTGTTAGAGAGTTGCATGCTAAAATGATAAATTTTGAGAAACTAGTATACGGTAAGTAAAAGGATAATGTGATAGATAATAGTGACATATTAATGGCGATAGTGATGGCAAACTCCTCCACCTTAATGGATTTAGATATTAATACTAATGGTCCCATTTAGATTGTTGAAATCTACTTATTCTTTTAATTAGAACTACTTAGATTTTTTTAAGAAAAAGAATATAATCTAGAGTTAAGACATGGTGAATTAAGGGCTAATTTATCTTGATGCCACCTGTTTCGTATATGAAGAATATACCAACGAGTCTATTAAATTATATATGTATAAATCTAGTGAAAAATACAAAAATAATTTTCAACCAATTATTTAATTAATGCCGTCAACTATTTTCAAAATTATACATCGTTATTTTTCTCTATAATTTGATCCATACCCAACATACATATATCCATCTAATTAGTATATATTTGAAACATATTCCACATATCCAAATGAAATAGCAGTCTGTTTTACCATTTCCATCCTTTGCATACAATGACTATTCGGATTTGGCAGAATATGGAAAACAAATTTATCCTATTATTAAACATGCAATTTAATATATAATATATAATATAAATATTCTCCATCGACAACTGGTAACATGAAGAAGGCAAAGTGTCATGTTGGAGCAAAACACGGATTCTTACTTTACGCTTAGATTGCATTTGCATGCCCGATGTTACCTTCTCAAGCTACCAACACTCTCCATCCTTCTATCATCAATCCATATTCCTTTTTCCTTTGTAATAACAACTTCATTAAAACTTTTATTCCTAATGTTGTTTACTTTACTCCTCATAATTCTTTATTTATTCATGTATTCATTTTCTTCGTAATTCATTAACTCAGACCTACTTCTTCAAAATCGGAATTAACTCTTTTCTCAAACTTTAATACTTTTTACTAGACTAGCACTATATTTCTTTTTATATTATGAGTAAATTCGGCAAATGACCAAAATGTAGGGTGAGTTTGAAGAAAATGACCAAAAAAATGAATATTTCAGAAAATGACCACAAGTTCCGCAGAGGGGGTTCTGCGGAACCATAAACACCTCTGCGGAATGTGAACACCTCTGCGGATCTTGGTTTTTTTCATTTTTTTTTTGTTTTCATTTATTAATATATTTTTTTAAGCACATAAGGTATTATGTGATTATTATGTAAAAAAAATTTGTTTTCGTTTTTCATTTTTCTTATTTAATTACCTGTTTATAAAAGTTGTGTGTTTAATAAAAATTATACAAATATTCTATGTTTTTTATAAAATTACACACACCGAACAACAATGGCAGCAGCAGCCAGACAATCAATGGACACAACAGACTGAACATCAATGGCAGCAGCAGCCAGACAACCAATGGACACAACAGACTGAACATCAATGGCAGCAG